GAACCACTGAGCTAGGGCCATATATGTTTGTTTGTTTTTCATTTTTATGACATGGTCTTGGAGAGCAATTGAATTTCTCTTAATCCTATCAAAATACATTACTGTTTCCTTATAGGTTTTCTTCTAGATTTCATTTTAGTCTACTTTCTAGAAGATTTGCACATAATAAATATCTGTATAAGAAATCTACTTAAAATACATAAGTTTGCTTAAATTTACAGATGTAAAAAAACCTGAACATATGAAATATGGTCTATACTAAATTGTGCAGTAAGACAATTCCAGTTTTAAATCAGTAAGACTCAGATAAAGTATCTACATGAAAAAAGTTAACTTTTAGTAATTTTAAAAAATCTAAAAAAATCATACAAATTATTAGGGAAATGTAAAAGTTGTATATTCAAAAGAACTGACATAAACTATACTGGTTACCCAAATTAAGGGACATAGTCATGCGTTTCAACCTTGACTTAAGTTGTATCCTTTTACCACAGGGTTCCCTGGGTGATGTTTTCATGGTTACAACCTATATTCCAAGTAACATCTTCTATTTTCTTGCATCTTAAGAGTATCTTATTATCACCTTTCATAAATTTTGTATATTCAGTCAGAATTGAGATTCACTCGTTCGTTCATTAAATATTAATTATCGAGAGCACAGTTGTACCAGGCACTGTTCTAAAAGCTTGGATACATTAATACAAAAGAGAAAAATCCTCGTCCACAGAGAGCTTATATTTTAGTGGGAGAAGACAGAAAATAAACAATAGCATAATACATAAGCAAATTATATAGTATCTTAGAAGGTGAGAAGTGATAATAAAAAGGAGAGTAGGTAGAACGCAGGAATGTTAGATTGTAATTGTAACTGAGGCAGTGTAAGACAGAACTTCAGTGAGAAGGTGAACTTGAGCAAACTTGAAGAGTGAAAGGTTAGCCATGGGATATCTGCGCATAAAGAATTTCAGGAAGAGGAATTTTTGGAATCTTAATGTTGGTGGGTACCAAAGAAGACACCTATAGTTTTACAAGGTATATGCACTGGCATCTCTAGTAATATGATACCAGAAATGTTCGATTCACTTTGGGGACTTTTTCCAATGTAATAAGGGTAACAGATACAAGAGGTCTGAGCGCACAAAAAGGTTAAAATATAGCATGACTTTAAAGATAATCCCCACCCAATCTACAGACAGTCTTTAGATGACCTCAGGAAATGCAGTAGGGGACAGAGGCCAAGCTCAGTTCTAATAAGAAAAACTGATTTAGATGAAGATAGCCCAAGAACATTTTAACTTGAAAGTTAAAAATGCATCAATACATGAGGATTCTAAATTTTGTACCTTCAGATCCCGGTGAATTATTGGAGTCTTACACTGATGCAACCTCGCAACAGCTTCACAGGTATCACAGAATATCTGTAACACTTCTGGTTCCGTAAAACCTGTCTGCAGCTTCTTATTCATCTGATTCACTACCTGCCCAGCTAACCAAAAAAGTAATTTTGAGAGGACATATTCGTATACATGCAGTCTATCACAAAGAAATTAAGAAATGCAATTATGGTCTCAGGTACTAGGGAATTGGCTTTTTCATAATTCTCCTGTAAGGATGCTTATTACACCATGAAGTACTGATTCAATGAAATACATTTTATCATATTTTACGTCTCTAACATGAGAACATATTACATAGATGATGTCCTGCTAATGCAATTGCCATGTTTTAACATCTTAACATATCTGAAATCAGGGTGTACCTTATAATTGACAGCATTTTTTAAAAGTTTATTTCACACTATGCTAATTATTGGGTAAACAATGGTAAACAAAAATAAAGTTGCTATTATCATAGAATTTACAGTTTAAAGGCAGAGGTAAACATTAAAAAGTCACACAAATAAACACGTCATAATTATGTTCAATCCTCTTAATAAAAGCCTAATATGTAAGTGTCCAGTCATCCAGTCGTCAGTTCAGTCAATCAAAGCATAATATGCTAATGATACACTAAGGCCCCTCAACCACTCGCTATGACACGCACTGACCACCAGGGGGCAGACAGTCAACTGGTGGACCAGTCACTATGACATGCACTGATCACCGGGGGCAGATTCTTCAACTGGTAGGTTAGTTTGCTGCTGAGGTCCAGAAGATCAGGACTGAGTGAGACGGGCGGACATGCCCTGGAGCCTTCCCATGGTCCCACCCTGGCTGGCCAACTTCCTGCGTCCCTCCCGGCCCCGATCATGCACCGGTGGAGTCCCTCGGCCTGGCCTGCACCGTCTCACAATCTGGGACCCCTCAGGGTATGTCGGAGAGCCGGTTTCATCCCAATCCCACAGGCCAGAACAAGGGACCCCCCCAGTGGTGCACGAATCCATGCACTGGGCCTCTAGTAAGAATAATAAGAAAGAAATCTATGTTTAAATTGGTGAAGGAGGATGAGGAAAAAAGAGTGCCAGATAAGGCCAATCTAAGGAAGTGATATTTATGTTTACAATGAAGGGTAGGTACGAATTAACCAGGAAGAGATCTGGAACAAGAGCAGATTAGGGATAGCGAGTGGCAATTACAAAGGCCTCCAGTTTGGGAAAGAGCTTAATGACTTTAAGTAGCTTAAAGAAAGCCAATGTGGACATGGTCTAGGTAAGGTGAGAAGAGACGGATGAGGCAGAAAGCAATCAGAAATACATTTAATTTAAGAACCAAAGAAACTTCCTTATCTGAGTTTTTAAAAGTCCTTCACTGAGGGATAAGGGAATCAGAAGAGTGGAAATGGATGATAAGAGGCTAATACTCTAAACTAGGTAAGGGATAATGGGCAGAGTAACTTACTAAAATTAAATAGCCACACATGAGTCCTGAGAGAATATATAATAATATACAATATACCACAATAATTGCAGTCTAATAATGACAATTCTTAATTATTAAGAAATTAACTATCATATTTTAACAGCAAAAGTAAATATGTGATTCATTCAGAAGCTAGTCTGATAAAAATCATGTTTGGGGATTTTAAAAAGGCAAGTTTATGTTAACTTGAAACTTACTTTTAACAAGCTTAAATAAATAATGCTTGCTACCTTTGAAATCTTAAGAAGGTGTATAGCTGTTCCTTTTATTTTTACTGTCTCAACAGCATTTTCTTGTATTTTCTGAAATGGTTGTTTCTTTTCTTAGAATTTTAAAGCAAAAAGAACATGAGCCCTAGCTAGTTTGGCTCAGTGGATAGAGCATCAGCCTGCAGGCTCAGGCGTCCCAAGTTCGATTCTGGTCAAGGGCATGTACCTCGGTTGCAGGCACATCCCCAGTAGGGAGTGTGCAAGAGACAGCTGATCAATGTTTCTCTCTCAGCTATGTTTCTAACTCTCTATCCTTCTCCCTTCCTCTCTGTAAAAAATCAATAAAATATATTTTTAAAAAAAGAACATGAACATTTACCTATCAACCTCCAACTTTCTGAAAACACAAGCCCATTTCACTGTAATTTGTTTAGGGTATCTAATAAGAGTGAGGTGCCTGACCAGGGTGAATTTCCTTCAACCTCTTGTCAGACACCCTAACTCATTTTGACCCAAAATTAAACAGGATAAAAAATGTTTTCTAGGTATTCATTCACATTCTTGAAATATCATTTCACAGCTAAAGAAATGAAAATCTTAAACTCATTTCACCTCTTCTAAAGGTTCAATGTTGTAATGAATAGAATGAATTTTAAACAAATGTTAATCCTCTTTCTTCCATTGAGATATTTGAGCTAATAACCTTGAATGACAAAATTCAGCCCCGCCCCCGCCCCAAAAGGAACTAAAAGCTGTATTTGAGCTGCATTTCTAATGGAGACACAAAAAATATTTTATTATTCAAAATTAAACTCTTCTGAAAATTATGTTAAAGTAAGGTTATTGTAATGAAAAGTATGGCTTAAATATATATATACTGAAGGTCTTTTAAAACAAGATGCATAAAGCATCTTGTTTTAAATCTTTCCATATTTTCCAAACAGGTATCATTTCCTAAGCAAAATCTTATATACTCTTGCCAATTTCAGCACTAAAATAAAAAAGTCCACATTTCCCTAACCTCTCAAAGTAGGCAGCCAACCCTTCCTATCTGATTATACAACAGAATAAGGCAGAAGTGGCAGTGTGCCAGTCCCAAGTCTAGGCCTTATGAGCCCTCACATCCTCTATCTGCCCTCTTATGTTTCTACCATGTCCATAGAAAAGTATCCCCAGGATAGCTTGTCAATGCCAGGAAGATGAGAAATATGTAAAACCAGTCCCAGCAAGCCAACTGGCATATGAGCAAGTCCAGTCAAATTGAGTGGTGTCACCCCACCAAGTTCAACCTAGAACTGCTGGCCCATTGATACAAAAGCAATAATAAATAACTGTTGTTTTATGCTATTGAGTTTTGTAATGTTTTGTTACTAAGCAAAAGCTAACAGATTATCCAGAGGAATTTCTGTAAAACATCCCCCCCCCCCGAATAAAAAGCTTTTTTCATAAAATAATTAAGAATATATTCAAAATGGTAACCAAAGCACATAAAACCTCTCTTAAGCACATTAGCAAATTAAGCAGTGTCACATCATGAACCTGCAGAAATCTAATTCTGGAGAAAAGATGATTGTAAACATTTGATACTTGAAACCATGGTGGGGTATATAAGCTACTTAATATCTACTTTCTATACAGTTTTCTCTCTACATAATGCAAAACACAGCGTACCTGAACTATATATACAACACTGACTCCCTCACTAAAGTACCTTCATTCTTAAACAATTTTATGTAAACAATTTGCTTTTATGGAGAAGTAAAGGGAGAGCATTTTTGCTCACCCATTCTCTACCCCTCCAATCCACTGGGAATTTCTCATTTATTCATCTGAGAAAAGGAACTGAACATACTCTATTCAGATTCTCTAACTTATCAGGTAAAATATTTATAGAAAACTTGTAACATAATAGCGAGAGCATATTAACAAACAGGGGGGCGGGGGGGGGGGAATGCCAGGAACAACAACAAAAAAATTCTTTTAAAGCTATAATATCTGTAAAAAACAAAATATCTGCACCTAAAACAAGAGCAAGGTATATTTTAACAAAGAACAACAATATTGAGAGAACAAAAAAGAGTTCTTAGAAATTAAAAATAACATGGCAGAAATACAAAATTCTATAGAGGAGCTCAAAGATAAATTGAAGGAATGCTCCCAACACAAGCAAAAAAATAAATAAATAAATAAAAGAGAAGAAAAATCAAAGAAAGGAAATCAGAGAATTGATCAATCTGTGGCAGGATAGTAAGAAGCTAGGAAAATTCCTGGACAAGTGGAATGGGGAAACTGAGACCAGAAAATTAAACAAGGCCAAACAGTTTGGGCAGCTTCCAGCCAGCTTATGAATCACACAAGACCTTATCCTCCCCAACCAAGGACACTTGAGAACAAATGGTTTATACAAAGAACCAATTAATGCCATTTGTGACAGCTAAACCCAAGGACAGATAAAGACTGGGGCACAAACAACAAAACCCCAAAAGCATTTGTATGGTATCACTTGGGTGATGTTAGGCAGGAAAGATAGTTGTTACAGCAGAGGGAGGAAAAAGGTAAAAGAAAAAGGGAAGTTTATCTCACCCAGTGAACAAAGAAGTCAGTAGTCTTGGGACTTGCCAAGATAAAATTACCAGATGTTCTCACAAATTCTGGGAAAAGTTTCAACAATGTAAAAGGACGACTCTGAAATCTAGTCTATTCTGCAGGGGAACTTTGAAACCTATAGGCGGGGCAAGTATAAAACCTTTCAATCCCCATAAGGCAGTGCACTCAGACTGGCTGAGTTGCCCACTTGTGCTTTATGCCAAATATATTCTTAATAAATTGGCTTGTTTTACTTCAACACTGCTGTCACTTGTCTGCTTTATCACAAGTATGACAAGAGCCAACTTGATCAGCTCTCCAGTAACAAATCTAGGAAGACTAATACCCTAAAAATTAAAAGTCCAAAAGAAGAGAACAGAGAAAATGAAAGAGAAAAAAACTGAGTGCCCAGCAAAAAAAGTAGCAGCAAAATGATCCATAACCAAGGCACATAAATCTTGAAATTTTAGAATGCTGAGGATAAAGATTTAAAAAGTGTCCAAGGAAAAAAATAAGTCAAATTAAAAAATTGAA